ATAGCTATTTCGGGATACCTCCAGTATCCCGAAATAGCGCTGCAGTGTAGACATAACCCAAATGGCCTGCAGGAGTTTCAGAAATGCATTCCCATGTTGAACATGAAGGAACAGTGCTAGCGCCAGACTGCAGCAGCTCTGTTAGCTTTGCAGCTCATCAGCAATGTCTGAGTTGATGTCCGTTCCAATCAAGCAGAACTCTGACTTTCAGAATCTATATTCCTTCTCAGGAAGTCATTTCTCAAAGTGCTTTCAAGTCAGACACCTTGCTTAAGACTAATGTTTCTTTCCATTGTCTAGACTTGCAGATTTATTTCAGGTTCTCTGAAACCTGGTCATCCAGTCAAAATTCTTTCCCTGATAGTTACCCCACTTTCATTTTTCTGCAGTACTGTAGCAGCTTCTTCCGTTGGGGACCATCTAACCAACATTCAGATCCCACCCATTAAAACACTGAAGCTTTGCTTCACCCCTTATCTACATATGCTTTTATAGTGAGAGACTAGTTAACTTTTGCAAACCTTGTAGTAAAAGAGCATTGCATATCTGTGACTAAACAAAGAGATATCTGCACATCAATTAGCACAAAGGTGATCCTGGCATTTCCACTGAGTTGTGTACTCCTAATCCAGCTGGGATCACTATTCAGCACCCCCATCCTCTTTTCCCCTTGGCAATTCTGTGCATGGGACAGCCTGACTTGTGCTAGAACTGTCCCCCACAGTTTCTTATTATGAGTCCCAAGAGGTTGTAAGCTCAGACCTTCAGACAGGCTCTCATGGGCAATTTCTCTGCTGTTAACAAGGCTTCTCAGCTATTGTACTTAGAAGTATTTTCACAGGATGCAAATGCCATGGTCTCCAGAGATCACAGTGGCTCCATTAGTGTTGAAACAAACCACAGTATCTTGTTAGCTGAACTCAGCTGCCAGGGTGATTGGCATATTCATTCTGAATTGATACAGTGTCTGCTCCCCTGCACAAATGAGATTCCGCTCCAGTCAGTCACTGCATACAATCAGGTTTTCATTAATTAATTGATTATGAGGCGATTTGCTATTGGTTCCTTTTTGGTGGGTGTGGAGAGGGGAAAGAAATATGTGTTTTATTTAATGGTGAGTACTTCATACTCATGAGTAACCAACCTGCCCCCCCCCCCACACACACACACACATACAAGCTGCATAGATACAATATACTCCAAAAAAATCCCCCAATTTATTGCAATTCCTCAATAAATCCCAGGAGATACGTAATGTATGCTGAAGACAAGGTAAGTGTCTCTCTCTAAGAATAAAATATGGTATTGCACTCTAAATTCCTGTATTGCAAAAATAAACAGTGCCTTCAATTCTCTTATAGTCAGCCCCTGGAGAAAAAAAAATCAAAACTTTCTAGTGGGAAAAATAGTTTGGAATTGCTACCTCTGTTTTTGACTGAAAGCTCCTTCTTCAGTCAGGTTGGCTTTCACCAACTACCCTGAGCTCTCCAATAAGCAATCGGCCTTTGAGAGTTACTTGGAGGTCATAACAAGCAAGTCCCAAAGGGGTCTAATTCACTCTCAATATATACTTGTAACTCTTGACAAGATTACAAGCTGTAATCCAAAGCCAAGCAATCACAAGGGCAGTTTTTAGAAGATGTCTCTAAGACGGATTGGGCTTTAAGGAGTGATTTAATTAATTTCCACACAACACAAGTGTTCCTTGCACCTTATTTGAAGAATATAAGCAGTCGTGCTCTATGATTTCTTTCGACTGTGTGACTTTACGTTCTTGTTTCAAGCCCCTCTTTTTGCTGAAGAGAGGGGTTAGGAGAGGAGGTGGGAAATGATTTTAAAGTCATGTGTTTGAATTCAGTTCTTACAACACTGAAGTGCTGAGTGCAGGGATGAATACCACTGACCGAGAATCAGTAGTTCCTCTTTATCAAACAACCGATGTGTATGAGGAAAAGAGGAGTTCTTTGAGTGTATCTTGCATGTGGGCAACAGTGGGTCATTACAGAGTGCACCTCCCCTGAAAATTAAGGTGACAAAACCATGATTTATGACTTTCAAAATGAGCCACTGGCTGACTGAAATCAGCACAGCCATTTGAGGGAAGCATGAGCCAATTTTCTGATATCAGTCACTCCAGTGTAAACACATAGTAATTCCATGGAAGTTAAAGAAGTGACGCCAGATTGATTTTGATGTAACTGAAACCAGAATCAGGCCTATTCAATTCTGATTGAAAAAGGGGGAAACTGCTCTGAAGCCAGATTTTGCCCTGGGATCTAGATACACAGCTCCTTTTGGGCCACATACTACTTGGTTACGTCAGTGCAATGCCACTGGCTTCAGTGATGTTATGTTACTGTAATTGAGAGTATTCAATCCATTGGCTTTCATGTTCACCTGAAGACAAAATGTGGCACCCTCTTGTTACACTAGTTGTAAAAGTTGGCTGTTGGGCTGGGAGTCTAGTTACTTGTTAAAAGCAAACTGCCAACCTGGTTAGGCCCAAAATATGCGTTGCCGTTAAGTTGGTATAAACTTATGGTGGCGTCTCCCAGGTTTGCAAAAGAGCTGTTAAAACCATGCAAAGTATCTATTTTTTTAAAAATAAATAGCTACCATTCGGGTGGACCCAGCCCCAGACAATCAAAGTGGTATGAACTTTACCCTGTTGCTGCATAAAAGCAAATTCAGGGTGCCTATTTTCAGAGCTGTTTGGAATCCCCCTGAAATCCTTCATGGGGCTGGTGAACACAGAGAAGAAAATGTTATTGAATCTGAACCTGGAAATCTTCATTATGTGAGCTGCGTTCTCATGAAGAAAAGCTGTAGGATGGGGCCCGTTGTCTTCTGCTATATTATCTTGATTCGTCAAGTGCCCTCCGGACTGAGGTCATGTCAGGTCACACAGGCATCTTCTTGCAGCTCTGTGTGATCTGTATGTGTTTTTTATTTATTCAAAATGTGAGTGCCTTTGCATTTTAATCTGCTATTCTCTCCCTCCCCTTCTCCTTGGAGAAGTCTAATTACACTTTTGTTCCAGGTCCATCTGGTTGCTAGAAATGCTGGAGATCACCGCTGTGCTCATTCTAATATTTGCTGTGTATTTTCTAGGCTGGATGCTGAATAATGATATTCCCTAAATTTGCTTTTGCTCCTGTTTCCTCTCCTCACATAGCAGACTGTGTAATATGGGATATCAAGTGAGAAATTTACACTCACTGGGTAGATTTTTTAAGAGTTCGGGTTCTGAACAAGCCTGTTCCATGTTTGCACACAAAAATGTTCACTGTGTTTTTCAGAAAGGGTTTCTTTTCTTGTTTCTCTTTCCAAAGTCCATTCTAACAGTTCCCCTTACAGCAACTGTCTGGTGTGAACTCAGTCGGAAAGTGGGGTTTGCATGTTTGCTTATTCTGCCCAAGGCATGACCCATAAATGTGAAACTTTTCTAGACCGGAAGAATCCATCTGGACTGCCTTTCAGAGATCAGCAGGGAATTCCTAGCCAGTGTCTGACCCAGATATTGGTTGTGTCCATAACAATCTCAGATTCCCAAGTCTGGATTTTGCATTGTCAGTGGTGGGATTATTTTTTCTCCCCTCTTTTCTTTCTGCAATGCTGACTGGGAACTCAGGCTTACACTTTATCCATGACCTGACTTCCCTGCACTAAGAATAGCAAGAATAGTGCAACTTGGTTTCAATATCGCTGGAAAGAAGCCACAACTAGGAGACTGGAAGGTCAGATTAGTCCATCCTTCCACAACCAAAATACATAACAGGAATACAGGAGTTCCTGTTTGTTTGTTCCTAACATTGAAGAAAAGATATTTTGCAAATTTTGATGAATTCTCTTGAGAGTAAATGTAAGTCTTTGCTCAAGATATTAATTTGAAAAAGAGACAGACAGACAAACAAAAACTCAGCTGTCAGGCTGAATAAGGACTTTGTAAGCAGTGGAGGCTGGTGCCACATGAAGATTGTTAGGCAAATTGGACACACAAAGTTGCCATCAGCATCAGTTCACAGATTGAGAAAAAAGATCATAATGTATTTGACTTAAAGCAGCCAGAGCTGTGGACCCTCCACTGGAATGTCAGGAGGCAACAGGCAGGATCTCATAAGGAGCTTGTAGAATAATAGTAACATAAGAACGGCCATATTGGGTAAGACCAAAGGTCCATCTAGCCCAGTATCCTGCCTTCAAACAGTGGCCAATGTCAGGGGCCCCAGAGGGAATAAACACAACAGGTAATCCTCACGTGATCCCTCCCTATTGTCCATTCCCAGCTTCTGACAGACAGAGGCTAGGGTCACTTAAGAACATGATTTTGCTTCTCTCTTACCAAGAGCACCAGTCTGCATCGATGCCTTGCAAAGAAGAGCAAAGACACAATCAGCAGAAACTGGCTAATTGGTGCCTTGCAAACCCACAAAGGGGATTTGGGCAAAGAACCTACCATGATAAGCAATGAGTTGCAAAAGGTCCTTCTGCCTCATCTTCTGGTTTTATCAGGCCTCTCTTCCTCTTTTCTTAAGAGAAACCTGGCCTTTCATAGCCCCAGCACAGCCTGAATATGGACCCAGTGGCCATTTCACATTTATAGCGTGGGAGTGAGTGATTAGTGGAGAGAACCAAGGGTCAACATTTCTTTACTCCCTTCCCCAAATTACAAAATCCAGGAAAACCAGCATGGTGGGAGATGTTAAGTGACTTGGAGGAAGGTGGTTCTGACACCTGAAGGACTCAGTCCTGCAACCCTTACTCACATGAGCAGCCCTGACTCAACCATGGTGTCCAGTTGGCTCCAATGGTTACGTTGGAGAAAGGACAGCTCACATAGGGGATGCAAGAACTGGTCTTTGGGCTCTAACCCAGTGCACAAATTTAAGAACAAACTGCTTGAGGTATCAAGGCAATAATTCTAATGGTAATTTTGAACTGTTTTTGTCTGTCTAACATTCCTTTTTAATCCCCATCCTGCCTGCCCCTTCCTTATGTAGGGTTACTTTAGTGATCCTTGGAATGTTTTTGACTTCCTCATCGTAATTGGCAGCATTATAGACGTCATTCTCAGTGAAACTAATGTGAGTATTACTCTACCCTTCCCAGGATACCACCACCACCTCCTCCTACTCCTCCTCTGTTTCCTTCTCTCTCTCGCTCTTTTTTCTGGTATTTTTCCCCCCTCTAGTCATGCTTTTATTGAACTTGCCGTCGTCCTTCTCCTTCTCCCAGGGAAAAAAAGGAGGGGGAAACGCCTCCTTCTTTTTCACTTGTCATAGCACACCTCGGCTGTGACTGGTGAAAGCGCACAGAGTTTGGGGTGTGTGTGCTTTTTTTCCCTCCAAAGGGTACACATGTTTGAGTGTAACTTTCTAACTAACCAGGCTTTTTTGTTGATACCCTCCATCATGTGAAACTTTACAGAGGTTTGAGCAGCCAATACTATAAAGTGGTAAGAGACTATTTAATATGCCCACGTAACCTCTTTCTTTTCTTATTTTTTTCTCTTCTCTCCCTCTTTCATGCTTTTTTTTGCTTTTGTTTTATTTTATTTTATTTTTTACCTTTTTTCCTTCCTTCCTTTCTCTCTCTCTCTCTCTCTCTCTCTCTTTTTCTTTCTCTCTTTCTCTCTCCTTCCTCGGCTTCTCTGCCACATGCAGCACTATTTCTGTGATGCATGGAATACATTTGACGCCTTGATTGTTGTGGGTAGCATTGTTGATATAGCAATCACCGAGGTGAACGTAAGTAGCTGGCGTCTGTCCATGATCGTGCCTGCTCTAACATTCATTTGTCTTTCCCGGTTTTCTTTTTGTTCCCCCCACCCCCTCTTTTTTTATTTTTAAGGATTGTTTTTTATTCTTTTGAAAAAAATATTGTTTTTGTTTGTTTTTACTTTTGCAACAACCTAGAGAACCTTTTGACTGTTGCATCATTTTCTTTCCCTCATAATCAGCCTGGCATGAGTAAAACTGTATAGCAGGAAAATCAGTGGGAAATGTGGAGTGTAAGTGAGAGTGAGATTTGTGCCATGGGAAGTCGCTGGAGTAGTGATAGCCCAGGACTCCCTATGGCATTGTGATACTTTCCACTCCACAGAGATCTAAAGGTAACTCTTTCGAGGTGGAACTGTGGGAACCAAATCTAGAATCTTTTGTGTCGATGCCCTTTTGGCTTCCTCAAAAAAGACTGGCATCTCAATAGCCACAGAGAAACCTGTCCATTTTTTTCCTGGATAAAAAAATTCTCCTATTTTACAGGGTAGTTTTCCGCCAATGTTTTCATTTCCCCGCCCCTCCAAAAATATCCATAGAAAATATATGTGGCCATGTCTCAATCCATTTTTCAGTGCACACCTCACAAAATGTACCACCACAACTAGCATTAAATGGCACCACTCCTGGTCATGTCAGCAGAAAGGCCAAGGATTAAATGGGCCCTGGAGACTGAAATGAGTAGCACAGAGTTTATAAAGAATATATTTTTATCAGGCAAACTTTATTGCTTTTTTGATGGGATAGGGTAGAATTACACAATTAGTGGATGAAGGAAATGTAGGTGGTATAGGACATTATATTTAGATTTGAGATAAGAATTTGATGCATTAGGCCAGCTCCTACTGAAGAATTTGGTGGGAGAAGAGTCATATTTGGGAACTTAAATCAAGATGACATGAACAGAAGCAAGGTTATGGGGACTGAAATCTGGCTAAAAGATCATACAAATATCACAGCATATCAAGTTGGGAGGAGGTCTCTGAGCCCTGGTCTACACTAGGGAGTTATTTTGAAATAACCCCCCTAATTTAGAAATGGCAAGCAGAGCGTCCACACTACTGACCCCATTATTTTGAAATAACGGGCTTGTTATTTTGAAATAATAACTCCTGCTTGTCATGAGGAATAACACTTATTTCTAAATTGTCATTTTGGGAGTTATTATAAACTAACCTATTTTGAAATAATTACCTGGTGTAGACATGCCCTGAGAGTACTATAGGTTTACCCTTATTTAAGGTCTTCATCAATGATCTGGAAAAGGAAATAAGTAATACATTAATGAAATGTGCAGATATGCTAAATGAGTATGAGTTTAATAAACAGGACAGAAAAATAATACAGAGGGACCTAAAGAGTTTAGAAACATGGACAAAAAATAAGGAAATTCAATTTTGAGAAACCTGAGAAGCAGAAATCCTGCAAAAGGGTGTTAAGGAATAGCAAATTGGACATGAATGTGTAATGTGCTATTGCAGCAGAAAAGGCCAATACAGTTTGGAGTTGTATATGTACAGTAGAGGTATCATATCATGCAGCAGAGACATTAATAGTGCCTGGATGTGACTTTACCTGGGATGCTGCATTAGGTTTTGGGCACCCTGCCACCAGAAAGATGCCAACATATGGGAGGGAATTCATAGCAGAGCAGCTAAAATCATTAAGGAAGTGGAAAGATTCATTTGTTTGAAGAAAACTTAAGAGCTCTATATGTTTTGCTTGTCAAAGAGACAACTAAGGTCTTGACTGTATGTTCAACTCAGTGTGGAGCATACTAACTGGTCTGCCTGATCCTTGCTGTTGAGCACTAGAAATTCCATACTGCTCATAAGTGTAGTCCCGTTGCAAATATTAGGGAGCTTTTAGAGCACATCAGCAGGGGCCACATGTGTGAGTTGATGCATGACATGCTAGTGTGCATTCGTATTTGCCCACTAGCTGGTTTGAGCTAAGACATCATGTAGACAATCCCCGAGGGCAGCATGGAAATAGTCTACCAACACTATAACAGTGCAATCCTCAAAGATAGGGAGACATCACACAGCATAAGTGTGGGTATTCCTCCCTACACACCCTTTTTTCATGGATGGCTGCCCCTTAACCAGGAGCCAGTTTTGAGTGAATGGCATTGCATCCTGCAAGGCCACACAGTTTTAATATGTTTTGGTTGCTTGGTCCTTCCACCTTTGCAATCCTTCCAGTGCCCCTGATATAGGGTGATAAAAGGGAAATGGCTAGAAGCAGTGAGGTGGGAATTATGCTAAATATCAGGGGAAAGGTTCTGGCTGAGAGATTAACCTATGGAATAATCTTTCAAGTAAAATGATGGAAATTCACTCATTGGGCACATTTAAGTCCTGCAGATGTGCTAGAGGGAACATCCCTGCATTGGAGAGGAGATGGACTCAGTTGTCCAACGTAGCTTTTCAGTGTAATTCCCATGATTTTATTAACTATCTTTTCCCCATGTAGGACAAAGTTTGAGGCACATTCTCAGAGTATTGTGGGAAAGCTCATGTTATTGTTACTCAGGCTGTACCCGTTCAATGGATAAACAGAGGTCTTCAGTCTTCAGGGCTGTCATTATGATATGATTCATCACCATGGAATTGGTACATGAAAAAAGGAAAGCATATACCACATAAAGCCCCTTCTCTGTTCCATACCTGTCTGAATTCGAACGCATTTTTGTTTTCAGTCTATCTCCTAAACTTGTCAGCTTTGTACTTCAAAATATGAGGAATGGCATGCCTCTGTAAGTCCATATCTCTGCAAATAATTGTCTTTCTCCACTGAGAAGGCGCTTTTGGCAGCCTTATTGCCTGAATGGAAAGTACAGATGGCACTTAGTGATGGTCCCTGTGTCCCCTTTAAAGAATTCTCTCCTACTATACAGTTCCCACAGATTTCTGCACATGTCTTTTTGTTACCTGGCATGTTTAAATCTTCTCTTTTTATCTAGGCAAGTCCTTTGCTATAAATTCTAACATTTGTTACTAAAAACATTAATCGTTTTTGCACAATCTTTTGATGCACTGATAAATAAGCAGCTAAGGATGGAGTTTGTTCTGAAATACTTGAAATCCCCTTGCACTTATAACACTGTTGAGTAAGAGAATGTGTTGTATGTCAGTTTGTCCTGTCAGATTCCCTTCGTGCTAGCTGCACTTCATATACTACAGCTTTAGCAGATGGGCATTGGAAATAACAGCCCACGTCAAACAGACAGTTGTTGTCTTCCCAAGAAGTGTGGATACAGTTTATTGATGCAGCCTTCCTCTTCTCCCAAGGAGCTTATTGCTTGCTCACTGTCTGTGGGTCTGAGCAAAACCTACCTCGTTTGTCTGTATACTGTCTTGTCTTGTTCCAATATACTTGGAGTCTGAAGAAATACACCCCCCCCCCCCCCCCCCCCCCCCCCCCCACACACACACACACTTCACTAGATGAAGAGCTGTAGATGCTTTCATGATCAGTTAAGGTGTTTCTGCCCACCTGATTAGCAAGTTACCAAGCTGAGTTTGAGATAGGGTTTCAAAAGATGCTGCACTGAGGGCTAACGGTAGCATCAGTGTCATCATTTCTTAGAGATGAACATTACCTGGCTTAGCTTATTTTAACCTAAGAAACTGTAGATGTGCGGCCATAAAAAATCCATGAATTCTACCAAAGACCTTACCACGCAGACCAGATATACCTAGGAAACACTACAGCAATAGGTGCAATGGAAAACCCTAAGATAGATCAACAAGTGCCTCTGACGGTGCATAGCTTTATGCTCACATTTGTGTGGGCAACACTGCAGGCACCGATTTTCTCCTTGGCAATTTTTTTTTAAATTGTTAAAAGAGAAATTCCCAGATAAAAAACGTTGTTAGGAGGGTGAAGAGGAGGCTTTTGTGAGTGTATTCCTTGGGTTGTAGCGTATGTTCCTGAATGCATTTGGGTAATGCGCACGTTCACTGTGTGCATGTGTGTGTGTGTACTGGTAACCCATTTGTGAGTGTGTTATAGGTCTCCCCACAGCCACTTGGCTTTTTATCTCATTCTGTAGTAGCTCATATTTTTAGCTTTCAGGGTCCCCATTTCAGTCTCAGATATATCAACCAAGAGGGAAGTTATCACGCACACGCACACATATGAGTGCGCCTGATGGTTGATGGAGTTGTGGGCACCTTACTGTAAGTGTGTGTGGTGAGAGATGTTTTGTATATATCTGAGTATATGAACACACATTGTCTGAGGGTATGTGTATATCTTAATCTGCACATCTGTGGAGTGTGTTTGGGTGGATGCAAATATCTGAGAGCATACATACGTAGGCATGTTTATCTCTATGCTTTTAGGTGACTGTACACATGTATGTATATCTCAGTCTGTGTGCATGTTTGTAGCATGCCTCTGGTGTTCAGGTGCATTGTAATTAGAAGATGTGTAGGTGGGTCACAATCGGAGGTTCTACTCAGTTTTTTCGCAGTCCTTATTCAAGTAACCCCCCACAATGAAGCTCTCTCAGGGTATGTCTACACTACCCCCCTAGTTCGAACTAGGGGGGGTAATGTAGTCATACGGAGTTGCAAATGAAGCCCGGGATTTGAATTTCCCGGGCTTCATTTGCATAAAGCCAGCCGGCACCATTTTTAAATGCCGGCTAGTTCGGACCCCGTGCCGCGCGGCTACACACGGCACGGACTAGCTAGTTCGGATTAGGCTTCATGGAATGAGGTGTACAGCTAGTTCGGATTAGGAAGCCTAATCCAAACTAGCTAGTCCGTGCCGCGTGTAGCCGCGCGGCACGGGGTCCGAACTAGCCGGCATTTAAAAATGGCGCCGGACGGCTTTATGCAAATGAGGCCCGGGAAATTCAAGTCCCGGGATTCATTTGCAACTCCGTATGACTACATTACCCCCCCTAGTTCGAACTAGGGGGGTAGTGTAGACATACCCTCAGTGACACTGAAATTAAT